AAAAAAAAAGGGGGGGGGGGGGGGGGAAAAGCCGAGGGTAAAAATGTTTTTTCCCCCTTTCCCTTTCCCCCCCCCCCCCCCCCCCCCATTGCCTTTCCTCATCATGTGTATACGTGTGTAATTTCGCCGGTGCATCCTTTCCTAATCCCAACCAACTCGATCAATCAATAATCATAAATGCATCTTTTCTCTCCAACCCCTTACTGTCCCAACCAAATGATGAGCAACCGAATGTGAATAAAGAAACTTCGTGTATTGGTCCACAAACCCATCCAGAACAAATCATCTTCCTTCCGATTGGGGGACGACACTGACACTCCTCATAATCTCTGGGCGTCCAGTAGGCCAGTGTCAACCAGCATCGATGCCAATTGAGAGGGCTTGTAGTCGATATTTAAGACTTGTGGAGCCAATGATGAATGGGCCACAGGCTGGTGTTTCGTAAGAATCTCGCGAACCTCGATTCTATAAATTGCAACCGGGCTTAGCAGCGGCAGTGCTACGAGGGTAGGCGTCTCAACAACACCCCAAAAGATGAGATGGAAAAGGAGACACTTTGCGTCAACGCCATCAAATCCTATTGCGGTATTATTGATGTTGCACGATCTACAGCGGAAAGCTTCATGAGCCGCTGGATCGAGACCTCCACTTCTTTGCGCGCTTGACAATATCGGGTGAAGAATCCGAGAGCGTAGCATCGTTATCATCTGCCGGGACGACAAGCATGCTACCTTGTTTTGGAGGCGGCGACGAAAGCCGAAGCAGAGAGATGGTGCTCTATCCCATCGGATCTGCTGACCTTTCGGGGCTTGCGGGGCATGATGTTTTTCCCTTTTTCGATTTGGTGAACGAGGAGAATTTGGACGAAAACTTGTTCTTCAGACCCATCAGGCTCGCCTTCTTCCTCATCGTTTTGCCGTTGCCGGTGTCTTGTTCCGGTTTCAGATATTCCTGTCCTAATGTCGATCCGCTGCCATTCATGTGACCGTTTCCGTTAGACATGTTATCTTCGTCATCGCTTATAAAATGATCGAGTTTTTCGTTCACTTGCAGCTGATCTCGGTCCGAAGACATCTTGGTCGCCTCAGGAATTGCAGTCGGAGAGTCTGGGGCTGTGACAGTCGTCACAGGAACACCGACAGATTTGTCCATCGAGTCCCTGCTGATGATGCTCGTACCCTGCGTACTAGGCGAGAGCGGCATCTTGCCCGTCGTCGCGCTGTTTGCCTGCGAACCCCACTCTCCCGAGCAGGGTGCTGAGCTGCCTTCGGTCGCCTCACTGCATCGCTGACGATTCGATCCGTGTAACCTGGCACCTCCACAGGAGAAGTCGGTAGTCGTAAGACTAGGAAGCACACCGTTAGGTCTTCCATCGAGGGCACTTTTTTCTGTTGGAGGCTCCGAATCGCATTTCGGCGGGGGGCTATATTTAGAGATGCCAGGTTGGTTTTCCATCGTCGATCCTGCCGAGGGGACTAGGAGTTCATTCTCAAAGTGAGTAAGGTTGAGTTCCATTTCGTCAACGGAGAACTGTAGACCGGGCAAGATATCTGCCACGCCTCGGAACAGAGGGAAGGCAAACAATTCCATGAATTTTAGCTGGGACCTGATCCGGCCGTCAAGGCTCGTCGATGGTGGAGCGATAAGTGCCGTTTTTTGACCCATATCCATCTCAATCTGAGTCTGCAATATAAGCTCGTCATTCAGCAGGTGCATCCACTGTGCACCGATATCGTGTCTCCGTGCGACGTTACTGATGTCAGCGCACTTGATTATAAGAGCGCACACTAGCACCCTCGCCTCGTCGACAGCCTTCTCATTCCAACCGTCAAGATCAGGTTTTTGAGCTTGAAGTTTTTGCAAGTTTCCGAGTTTTGCCATGTAGTCGAAATGCAAGGCCATGTCCGTAGCCAGGATACAACTGATCATCAACGTGCGCAGACGCCTATTCTCGTAAAAGATCGGCCAATGTCGCTTGAGAATCTGGCAGTAGCTGGTGCTGTGGAAATTCTCCAGGACTGAGCGATCGTTGTAAAGCTCTGCGAGAGGCGCTCGTGCCTCGATCAGAAAGCCGTTGTTGACACCGGGATGCAAAACATCGTGACCAATGGCAGTAAGGAGAAGGGTGAAGGCTTCTTCCGGACCTATGGAGGGTGTCCCAGGAGATTCTGCGATTGGGCTTGTATGAGTGCCGTTGACGTTTGGATAAGGAGGCAATGCGCCAATCCGGAGCAGCTGCTGAAAAGTTGCCTGTAGAACGTCGACAACATGTCGAAAGTTATGGTATGGCACAAAACCCATATAAGCAGCCCGACAAGCTTTGAGGAAATTTTGCAACTGTGTTGGCGAGATGCGAAATGCCTTTAGCTCTGGCATGGATAAGGCATGGTTTAGTGTGAGTTCGGCTGCGACTATCAGCTCGTCGTAGTCAAATTTGTGAGCATCGAAATGCCATGTGCTGATGGCACGGGAGATTTCAGCTCGCTTCTCTGGGCATACCGAGACATTGGCCTTATAGATCTCATTATCTCTGTCGTCCTCCGTGCTGCAGATCTTCTTAATCAAACTCTCCACGAGGTATTCGCGGAGATAACCATACGGCCGGGTATCGTTGAACACAGCAATCAGTGATCGTTTTCTGCCCTTACGCACGTCCGCCAATGCTTGTTTCCTCGAAAGAGCGTCCTTGTAAGCGTAATATGCCCTGTCTTGAATCACTGCGATGCTCTTAGCATTCAGGGGACCCGACAAGACTGCCTTGGCCCCAAAATCGATACATTGTTGTCGCATCCTCGTCTTATCTGCCCCACTGATGTTGTTCATGGCGTCGGGTGATTGGATGAGTGGGACAGGTATAACCTGCTCGTAGAGATGGCGAGCACGAGCTTCGGACTCGATCTTCTTAAGTAACGAGAGGCCGTACGAGTTGCCATCGTGGCTCTCGTCCCTGCGTTCATTCGGAAATTGGGCCGGGAAGAACTGCTGGTAAGGGGTGTCTAGGAGGATAATCGTTGGTTGAAGATCGGCCTCGTGATCTTCTTGGGGCTGGAGCCAGTGGGACATGCAGGCACCCTCAGTGCTGCACAAGTAAGCTGCGTCCGAACAGTTAGCACAAAAGGTCGACATGAAGGATGGATATCAGCGGCCCCGCAAACCTTCTGGAAAAATCTCCAAAATGCACTTCACAGTGTCGGCAATGCAGTTTGGTTCCGTCTTTGCAACATACTCGTCCAGATGCCTTGCGCTTCGTTGGATGCAGCGGTCCTCGGATACTGAGCGGTTGACGTATATAACACGGTAGTGGATGTCCTCCATGGCAACTTGTGGTTCCTCCATGATATCCATGTTGACTTTTGGTAGTGACCAGTCTCCCTGCGACTGCACTCTGGTGCCGAAAAAAAGATGATTGTCCAAAACCACAACCTTGAATGCTTGGGTTTCTTGCCGACGCACTGAAAGTAGCCAATGCTTGTTTTGGCCTCGGGGAAAGGGACCAGAAATAGGCCAAGACGACTCCGACAGCGTTTGGACGCCGATGCCTCTTTTGACGCAACCACTAATTGGTTTAATCTTGGATCGGTTTTCTCTATTCCGAGGGCGAGGCGGTTGTGATCGGTGCGATTGCGAGGGATGCAAACTCCAAAGTCTCAGCACGAGTTTCAAAAGTGGACTGGAAATGCTGGCAGGCGATATTTGCGACAATGAAAAACAAAACTGGAATTGTGGTGCCCGACGAGTAGGAATGTTTTTCTCGAGACGCTCAAGGAGGCGAGGAGACTGCTAAAGGGCCGATCGAGGTCGAGTTGCCTGGGTGGTTAGGGATTAGAAACGCGACGCACAGAAGGTCAGATTGAACAGAATCCCGGCGACGACGGCATGCGCGTCTAGACAATTGTGCCGTAAATCGCGGGTAGTCGGTAGTTGATGACATGTAACGGGTGGTTGTTGTCGTGCTTCAGGCGGACTGAGACTCGGGGGAAATTGGAAGACGAGGAGGATGCAAAGAAACAAAAAGGAAGGATGGAATCGCCTAGGGCGTGGGACTGGAGGGAGTGGCAGACATAGACGGGAGAAGAGATAGGGGAGGGCGTGGAAGGAGTTTTAGAACTCGCTACTTTCCAGTGAGAGGTGCTAACGGTAGCAGTATCCGTACTCGGTACACACACTGGGTAGGTAGGCAGGCCAAGCAAAGTGGAAGGTACAGGTGCATGTACCTTGCTGTGCAAGTAGAGGGCAGGTACCTTTGGAATAGGTGGGCAAAGAATGGGACGGGACCCGAGTGTGTATGACAAAGGCCAGGTACCTTCCCTTCTCCCTCTACACTACCTCTTACCACGTCGAAGCAGCGGATAGCGGGCGGGTATCAACAAGGAAGAGGAGGGGGGGGCAGGGCGACGGGATGATATACGTACATTGGACAGGAGATGTTTGTTGGTCGATATTGGCTGCCACGGCAGCAGTGGTTGGAATATGACAGAGACAGGGAGGCCGGCGACGAAAGGGAAAAAGCCACGGCCCCAATGGAGATGTGGTGGCTACTCAATTGGTAACCGCAAATGTAATAAAATGGGAGAGGCTAGACCCGTTCGCTTTTGATGGGCATGGGTTTCCAAGGGCGGGGTTCGCTTCTTACATGTACTCTATCTAATTTTTTTTTTAATTTTTTTTTCGTCGGTCTTTGGTTGAATGGTCCTTGGCTTGGGAGCTGGGATGACGCGCGAGCCTGGCGACCGAACACTGGTAGAAGCCGGCATGGAATCATGGAACCCCTCCAGCGCTGCACTAGTATCAACGCTTTGGTTTCATCCACCGAACCTGCGCGGCATGGCACTCGGGTTGGCCGATGCCTGGGCGTGGATCAGCGCCCGCTAGGTAGGCCTGTTACGTCAAGATCCAAACATGAACAAGAAGGGAAAGAATGTCGAGAAAAAAAACAAAAAAAAAAACAACAACGGATGCCACACAATCCATGCTTGGCGAGAAGCCATGTGTGCGGCGCGCGACGGCTTCTTGCAAAAGGGAAGCAAGCAGGCCAGGTCGATGTTACCAGGGTCAAGTGTTCCCCCTTTCTGTGAGCCAGTCAGGCTCGGCCAAACATCAAGTGAGGAGCGAATGGGAGGAAGCCTGACATGGGCGGGCAGACCAGCCAGGGTCGGCCGCCTTGCAATGGACGGTTGGGGAAGTTGCTGCGCGAACGAACGGGAAAGGTATCGCTGGCACGACATTTCAGTGGCCCATCAGCGAACAGCCCCAGCTTTTGGCCGTCTTCGAGAAAAATCATCGAACGCGCTAAGGCAGCCCACGTCTCCCGCCCACCCGCGCGCACAGCACACCAAGGCACCATTGAAATTGAAGGAAGCACCTGAGGCCCCTTCTGCAGCATCCTCTGCGCCTCACAGCACACGACTCGATGCATTCATGTCTGCGAGTGGACGCACCACAGATTGTCATGCCGCCGCAGGTCCCACGGCCGGGTTTCCATTTCTCTGGAAGTCAGCGAATACGGTAAGTACCGTATGGTGGTCGAGGTGGTCACTGCAGTGCCCTGTTCGCATCACTGCCCTGCCCGGTCGCTGTGGCCGACCTTGACAGTGTGCGCTTTCCCTCTTTTTGACAGGTGGGCCGAAAACTCAGACCCACAAGGGGTGCAGCAAAATTTGCTCATTGACCACCTTCCATCTGATCGTGACTGGGATTGCGAAAGCAGATTAGGTACCTAGGTACCTAGAGGTAGCTAACCCCCCTCCCCCCCCCCCCCCCCGGCGGGTCCGCGGTGTCCCGTCTGGGCAATTGCTCTCCGTCAGTCTCCGTGCAGCCGCGTCGGTTTCCGTCCAAGGCCTGGCTGCGGTCACTGATCTGGGAGGGGTCTGCTGTGTCGGGTGGCCCTGCCCTAGTGTCCTGCGCTGCACGGCCCACTGTCATCATATCTTGTTCTCGAAGGAAAGAACATTCTCACTTTTGTCACCCAGATCTGGCTGCGACACTCCTCGACATGCGCAACCTCGGACGCGATTGTGTGCCCGTTTTGCGGCAGGTACGACCGCTGGATCATATGGATGCCCCGGCGTGTCAGAATCTCCAAAAGTGCACAACCCAGTCGCATCACCAGGGGCAGTTGGGGTTTTTAATCAGAAGAACCGCTAGCGCTACCAAGGATTGTGGTCATCAATCAGGAACCACACGCGTCCTAACAACACCATCTCTGCCCGCATTTGCGAGCAAGGTCAGGAAGTTGTGCAGCGTCCCGATAGACCAGGAAAGGATGTTTATTTTTTCACTGGCTTTGTAGACAGGTAGACAGACAGGGTCCCGACTTGGTGCGGGGCAAACAAACATCCGAACAGCACCGATGCCGACGGCTCACAGGGGTTCACGGGCATTCACAGGTAGAGAGAGAGAGGTATTGATCAGATCTCGGTGCTGGTCCTAGGCAAAAATCGTCGCTCAAGCTGCACTTGCACCGAATATCCAACCTCGCGAACTTGCCATTGAATGCTGAAGACGTCCCAAAGCGGAGTGATCTTCGGAGTCGGCGACCTCGGGGCGACCTCCACCACGCGCCTTCAGCTGTCTACATGCACTTACACACACATCTCGCATATGTACTATATCGGCCACATTGACACCTTGATCCTCTCCGTCTTGCCCGTTCCCAACCCAGTCCTTATAGGCTCGTATATGTCACGATGGCCTTCGCTTTTCGTGCGCGCAAGTTACCAAGGCATGGGGTGTTTTTGGCTTCCCTTCCCTTCTTTCTGATGTTTGCTGACCTGGCGTGCCTGGGTTTGATTCGCCTCGGAAATATCCACCTTTAGTCTCTCCCACGGCCCAATATTATATACAATCTAATACTGGTTCTTTGGTTAGCTTAGCACTCCTGGTATACTCGACCAGATCGATGCCGATTTGTCACAAACCTTACATGGACAGACTAAGTGGCTAGGTTCGGATCAGAGGGCTATGAACAACATTCAACATGACATTAAACTTGGAAATAGCATATCCAAGGCAAGATCACGCCTTGATCATGGAACAGAACGAGTCAATGACACACCAAAATGCCTAGGGAAGCTAGCAGGAGGTCGCGAGCTAACAAACAAACCAGTATTGGACTGTGGCTTAGAGGGGTTGGGTCGAGATCTAGGGCTGTCTTGTATAGTGTGTACGGGAGGATCCAATTGTTGGACTATTGCCGGCTCCCTGGGCTTCGGGTTTTGGATCGTCCTTTTGCCCCTAGAGCCCTGCAGGCGTCAAGATGATGTTCAGCGGTTCTCCACCCCACTGTGATATGTCATCATCCCGGTGCCCGGCTCTCGACTTGGGTAGTATGTAGGCGGGTACTTGTGCCTTACCTAACTCTAACCACTAATCCAACACTGGGCTCCCAGCAACACCAGACCCCAAACCACCATGTTTATCACGAACTATTGCACGAGGACAAGGCCTCCATCGCCTGAAACAACAGATAATCACACAGTGGCGGTGTGAAAGCCTGTACACGGCGGTGGCTTCCACGTGTACACATCCCATCTGGATTCAGCCTGTCACCACCTCCTCTGCTCCTCCACATCAAGCTCCAGGGAACTCGAAGGCCTCAGAGCTCAGCAGCTACCGGACGGAAAGAGGGAATAATTTCCAGTATCCCATCGTTGCCGTATTGAACCAACACTTACAATTTCAGTTACTGTCTGATCAATCCGTCATGCAGCTCGGGCCACACCCCGCTGTCACCAATGCTACGACCTTCCTTATCAAGCTCGGCGCTAGATCTCGTCTTGCATGACCGGGGAGTACACAGCTGGAGATACGCATCCCGTCTTGTGGGTGGGATTTGGACCAACCAGTCACCTCACTTTAGCCATCCGGATCTTCCCCTTGTCACGACATCCTTCTAGAAGCAAACGCGGAACAAGCTAACCACGCTTAGGCTGTTGAGAGGGTGGCAGGCATATGTGATGACAGGGTGGGTGACGACTGACAGCCGTGAGATGGCGGATTGATTAGTCGCCTCGCCGACGTTCTTTGAATCTGGTATAGTCGGGATCCTGCGAATAACAGTCGCACAACATTTACCCGATATGGCCGTTCGCCTGTACGACGACCTCCAGTTCAGCCTGATCAAACTCGCCCATCGACCAACAAGCTATTCCTCAAACAGCAGGCCAGGTATATCCTCTCGCTTCTATAGCAGAGCAATTTCAGGTGTCATCATCAATGTCAGATTCGGCTTGGTCTGTGCTATGCCTTTTATCTTCAGAAGCTTCTCATGTCCTATCCCAGCCAGAGCTCTGTGCAAACTCCGGTAAATATGGGGAAAACTATCGTTAACTCCATACTTCAGCTTT